ATACAATAAGCTTAACCTGGATCAATTCTGGAATCCACCTACGTTTACGATGAACGTTAACATTGAAATATACTTCAACTTAGGCTGCGTTGACAATCGGAAGGAAAGAAAGCGTATCAAAACGATTATGTTTGCTTATGTTCGTATCTGAAACACAGCCGCTTCATATTGAATCAGGAAGTTCTGAAATGAAAGTTGCATTTCTTACTTGAAAGTATGACGCGCGATCGTGCATAATAGAACACAACCGCTCATGATCATCGGTGCTCCGAATGAAATGAATACCAAGTTTATTCTTGATTTCAATTATGAGTGAGCGGTCTGCTAGCCTCTCCATCTCAATTCGAATACTATTCACATAGAATCTAAAAAAGCACCATCATATGTGAACGATCTGCGAAGATGTATCCTCTGAGTTATGATCTTTGATAATTGAAAATGACAAGTACCAATGGATTCGACCATCTCATTACGAAGGAACAAAATCTAAAATCAAATCTTTATGAAAACTCAACTATTACACATACCAGTACCGGCAGTTCCGAACCCCAAGCAGTCTGTTCTCCATTAATAAACAATCACAAATTGGACTTCAGACCAGCTAAACTAGAGCCTTAGAATCAGCCTGATAACTGTCGTTCATTGAAGAAGTGTGAGACTCTTTCCAACAAGTACTAGTCGAATCAACGAGTTTATCTAACAAAGGCAGAGGGCGAACAGTTTATTTTAACAAAGCAAAAATGAAACAACAGGCACATGATTATCCAGATTGGTTAACTGCAGAAAATATCGGTATCGACAGTTCAAATGTGAACTAACTCATCTGAGCTCATTACCACTGTCCACTCATCTTACTCATGGAACAAAAGATGAACTCTAAATGTTATTCAAACCAGTATTTTGTCAAACAACGAAAACTCTATTGAGAACTTAAAAAACCTTAATGAGGACCAAGCTTTCATAAATGACAGCTAAGGAAGTCCATTGTCAAATAACCTGCACGAAAATAGAAACGAAAAAAAGGAATAAAACAAGTTTCAAAAAAATTTAAATAGCAATATTATATTAATAAACATATTTTAGCTTACTCTGGACTTCAGTTTATTTTTTCTTTATTGGTCCCGACACGATGACCACAAAAATTTAAAAAATACATGTATAGTTCAAAAGGAAAGTAGTTGCGCCGTACATCGTGCGGCTTCCAAGTTTTTTCTTTTTGCAACATTGTTTGAAGCAAGGGTACTCTCAGTTGGGACGAGCTGATTTCTTCCCATTAACCATAACTGAAAAACATAGAAAATGATTTTTCTTGTAAAACCATTGTTTCCCCTATTAATGAACTGCATTCGAGTACTGATGGCGGGGTCCGGTTGTCCCACCGAGCAGAAAAGAAACAGTACAAAATAAATGATAAATCTTTATTAAAATCTTTAAACTCTGATTATTAAGAAACACGGGAATGAACAAAAACTACGCGATTAAACTAGAATGGGGGAGGTCCATTCACAAATTCTATAGATGGATCAAAACTTCTTGCAAAATTGTTTAAAAGCTGACAGCAATACTCGTCATCACAATGGGGAACCAAACATGCGGCTCCGAGAAGTAGAACCAGCATAGCCTGAAAATATAAAGTTATTACAATAGTTCGATAAATTTTGCTGTACCTGTAGGGGCAATGCTGTTCTGAGAACCCGTCTCCATCTTGAGCGTTGTCTACGCAAATGTGGATTTGCCAAAGCTTCGTCTTCCGGCATTGGGGAGAATCTGCCTTCAGATGAATCTTCCGTTGACATTTCACTCGAGTCGGCTTCTGAAGGAATTCCTTCAATTCCATGTTGTTGAAGTACATTATATGGATGTTCGTTTGGATATAGCGCTGCAAGAACGTTCGCAGCGGCATCTACATCATACTCCCGTTCTTCAACATCTTCGCTACTGTCAGGGATATTTCGTAACGATTCCAAGAGTTCATGTGCGCGAGCCAATAAACGTTCTAATTCAGCAGATGTGCTGCTTCTGATGAATTGACGTCGGTTAGTACTGCGCTGCACAATTACAATCTGGTTCTCAAGGTGTGCAATAATATCGTTCAAAAGTGACTCGCGACTCTATAAAACAATCAGTTTTAAATTCTATAAAATGAAACAAACCATTCTATTATTATGATCATTGTCTTCTACACTCAAATCATCGCGACACTGGTCGAGTTCTGTTGTTAGAATTGAAAGTGTTCTATTCAATTCTAATTCTTCAGATAGTTCGTTGGAAAGTTTTTGTAACAACTCCTGTTTAATAAACAGATTATTAACGGAAAAGAATTAAAAATTAACCTCTAATCGTCTCCCATTAGACTCTACATCTACATCCAAGAAACGTTTTTCTTGTTCGACAATTAGTAAAGGAGAAAGTTTGTAAACAATATCTTCTAATGTTTCGGATAATCTATTGATTTCTTCATTTGAATTGATTAAGGCCTTGAACATTAAGATTAGGAAAATATTAATACTATATGTTACCTTCATGCTATCAAGATAACTTTCCCCGTCCTCGGTAGACAGCAGTTCTCTTTGATTGGATTCGTCCAACTTCAACAGAACTAATTCTATCTTATCCTGTAGAACTTCTCGCAGCTCCACAAACTCATCCCATGTGTTGGCACGATCTTGGAGAATGGGAATAATTTGATGAGCAGCA